ATCCTAACCCGACCTCAATCCGAGTACTGTCCAAGTTGAATTCGGTCAAGTTCGAGTTGAATTCGAGTTACTCAATTCAGTCTGATTTCGGATTAGAATAACAACCAATAACTTCAATCAAACAATCAAAAACCATCAAATCCAAATTAAAAAAAATAACAAAAATAACAAAAACAACATTCAAACAACCACAACACAAACAAACAAATCCACCATAAAAAGAAACCAAAACCATAGTACATTGTCTTCCAAATTACACTTTTCTCAATAAAAATGAAATTTGAAAACTCATACATACAAGATATTAGAGACACACGTCACCAAGCAACGCAAGACAAAATGCATGAACAGAATATCTTCACTTTATCTCATCTATTTTTGCCCCAAACCTCAATAATGTTGGATTTGGAACTAGCCACCACAATCCAGTTTTTTAAAATTATGTGTCCTATTTCTGGTAAAGTATATTGTGAATTCATATTTTTTATTCTTTGCACATACTTCGCTAATAAGAAAGAAGCACACTCCTTCAAATATCATATATACGTAGTTGGAAACAGGAGAAAGTTGCATATGAATCCTGATGAGAGCAAACACATCGTATTTGGGGATTGTAGACCCAAAATATTCTAATGTAGTCAACAATTGATGATCCACTATAATTGACAGTAAAGATTTTTTTTTTTTATAGAAAAAAAAATAGTAGGAATTCAATTAAGTATGCATATCTAAAAGAAGGAGGGTCATTATAAAATCAGGTTCCTCCTTCTTCCATACATCACAATTATCAATAAAATTAGCCTTTCTAGCAAATTGATGAGCTGATCTATTGCCTGTTCTTCTCACCGTAGACGTCTGAAAAAAACAAAAGCTAAGCAAAGTATTCCTAATATCAAGCAACACAAAATCCATCGGATTCATCTTCAACTATTAGCTTCATCACATTGGTAGAATCACCTTCTAGTATTACCTCGTCACACCCATGTTGCCCAACAAAGCTAGTGGCTTCTCTTGCATTAACAAAAGTTAGGGGTAAGATGTTACTATCAACAAAATTGTAGGGGTAGAAATATTTTTTTGTAAAGCAAGAGAGAATCCCTTTCATTAACTAATAAATTTTAGTAAAACTAGATGTAATTAACCTAGAAAAAAACCACTACAAATTTGGAAATATAGAAGTAATTAACCCTAGAGAAAATGGCTGCATTCCCTTGTAGAGTTATTTGCGACCAAGTCATGCATATGTAGTTTCTTGGAAAGCTATCACGGTCCACAAACAGTTTAGAATTATTGAAATGGACTTTTGGCTCTGAAAAGTCCATTTGGAATGTCTGCCAAACACACCCTTAGTTTCTCATTTATATTATCTTATTCTAAGGTTGCGGAAAGCATTCTAGATGTGGTTAGTCATGACACACTGCAAGTTTGCTTCCTCACATTTTTTGGGTAACATGGAATTATTCCAACCGCATGCTATTTGGGTTGATAAGTGTAACGTAAATCTTGAACGTACGTAATCTCTCGCGAAATACATACCAGATGATGAACTCATGTTTTATTCTACAAATAGAACTTGAACTCATGACATATAGATTTTTTGACTTACTTTTTGTGAAATAATCTAACAAATCTGTGTTGATTGTTAAAATATTCTCAAAATAAAGTCTTTTCTGGATGGATGTTATGTAAAACATTCATGTGTTGTGAGAAAGTGAAAATGTGACTTTGACACCAATCCCACATCGAAAGAATGACAAAAGTTTTCTGGGCATATAAAAGATAGTGAAGTAAACACATTTATTTTAGTACTAAATTTTGATCGATATGAATTCAAAAACGATTAAAAAAATCTATTTTCAAATCTAATCTATTCACCTTGTCAATATTATTTTCACAACCCACATATAAATCCTTTAAAATTGATAATTCAGTCCCAAAATAAGATTCCAATACTCAATTAAGCCTGAATTTGAATAAATAAGATCAAAATTTCAACTCTATTATCATGCAATCACTCAATTTTAAAAGCACGTGGATTCAAATACTGAATCACAAGTACATATACATATTCAATTAATTAGATTCAAATTAATATTTTGACCATTGAGCCTACAAAGAAGGACCATTCCAAGAGATCTAGATGCAATTAACCCATGTTAAGAAGTTAAGCTCCTTTGGAAAATTATTTGCATAGGAAGACTCCGGTATGCTTGGGTATAGTTTCTTAGCAAGTCACGATTGTGGCTACTTTTAATTTTCGTCCAAATACATTACTTAGTACATGGTAATAAGGGATAATCGTATCGTGTTAGTGTCCACATGCATAATAGTGGATGAAAACATAAGACTTTACCCTTACCTCATTGATCTTGGTCCCAAACCTAAAGAATCTTTGCTCTTTAATTTGGCCCTCACAAACCACTCTTTTAAAGCCACAAGGCTTATCCCTAGTCACAAGTATAGTAAATTCACATTTCTTATTATTTTTTACGAACCTCGCTATAAATATAGATGCTCACTTCTTTAAAGATCCTATATACGTAGTTGATAACCGGAGAACAATGCTATGCTCAGTGATGTCGTTTCTTGGGAAGTCACACGAAGGTCGGCTCAAGTTTTTCATCCATTTATCATAGTCTAAAATTTCAGGAAGCAAGATGTCAATTGAGGGATGTCGTGTCATATTCAAATTGTATAATTTTTTTATTTGTGATGCGTTCACATTTTGTGTAATCCTTGAACAAAAAATAGCATGTCTATGACCATTTCTCTCAAACAAATTCATCGCATTCGAGTCTCATAAATTCAAAATATACTGCATCCATGTCCTAACAAAATTCCGTTAAAAATCATTTAATTCTAAGACAACTCAAAAAATGCTAGATCAAAACACAAAAAAAAAAAATAATAGTAATCACATACTTTATTCAACAATTAATACCTCAACTGAATCACTTTTCTCATTGAAGCAAATAATTCAGGGAACCAACAAGCCTGCAAGATAAACCATGTGCAATATTTTGAAGCATCTCCCACAAAAACCACCACAAAGTAGAGCATATAGAATTCACCACGTCCTAACAAAATTTTGATCATTGGCAGTGAGTAGTGATCATAATTCACTCCCATTCCATGTGTTTGGAAGTAGCTGACGAAGAGCATATAGAATTCAGGTGTTGGTAAACCATCCAAAATTGTGAGATACCTTAAGAAACCCTGAGTGGTCCAACACACCATTCCCTCTCTACTTTTACAAATTCTACCGTAGAGGTAGAGAAGTGCAAGATGGAAAATCCAGGGAATGTCATAAACTTTTTTGGCAAGAGTCGTCTTCCCTATTCTTACATACAAACAATAGAGATGGCCCGCGAGTCACTTGGTCTCCGATCAACCATGATATGGCTATAGGAATTTACTTGGAATTTTTAGAAAGTAAATTCAAGCAAAAACCGAGAGTCTGTACAATCCAGTGGAAAGAATTACTCAGGTTGCATGTAGGGAGGACTTTTCGGTAATACTCTAAGCCCCAACAAATCAGAAACTGTATCATAGGAGCAGCAACAACTCTCCAGAACTTTTTGCAGAATTCTTTCCCGTCATGTCCTCTGTTCTTTAACTCAGTTACCCTATGGCCAATCCAGTTCTTCTAATACTAAAAATACACCTTGTAGGCATTTCATTTTCGTAATTCAGCCCCTTGATTGAAGAGAAATCATACCATAAAGGGGAAAAGAAAGCACGAGGGGCAACACTGCAAGCTATGAACACGCCAACCTATGAAGTGGAACTGTAGTAGCAAAATACACTGCCTTTATCTCCTAGTCTATGCCATATGACTAACAGTTTGCTTTCAAAGCAAAAGTAGAGTGGTTAAGATTCCTCATCCAGGATCGTAATTCTGATTAATGTTGTTATAAACCTGCACTATTATTTTCTCGTAGTAAAATAACTCATAATTTGCTCAGAAGGCCAACCTAACTATCAAAGAAGTTCTGTGAAATTTTCTGCATCTACAACAATTGAACCCAACCAAAAAAAAAATCAAATGATGCCAATAGTTATTCCTTAATGTCATTATGTTTGTTTTTATTTCCTTTCTTTTTCTTTCTGTATTTATTTCCGTATTCTCTTTTTCTCTTCTCCATGTTGGGCAATGGTCATGTAATTGTGTGCGTGGGAGAAAACATCAAGCTGGTGAACATTGGAGCCTTGAACATCATTTGACATGGCAAACTAAGAGAAAGTATTGCCTGGTTTTCGAAAGAAACAGGAAAACAATGAAGGGAGATAAAATAAAAATATATATATTCTCAAAGATGAATTTTTTTGTACATTCGATAAAGTTGCAACGTATAACTGAAATACCTTGAGCTTGCAGTTCATAATGAATATACCTTATTTCTAGCCATAATATGCTATAGAAAAGGAAAAGATATTGCTCTTCTGCCATTGTAACTAGGTTCTATCCATGCCCAATGCTCCATTAATTTTGTTAAAATGTATTTCAACAGCATTAGTGACATAGAACCCCAACTTAAGGCTTCACATGAAAACAATTAGAAAAGGTGAAAAGAGCAGAGAAACTAGATATATTTCTCATACTATTGGAACTATGTAAAAAATGAAAACACTGATTAAACTTCAAATAATTCAATCACGTAAGATTGAATTTTCAGTTTTATTTGTATTGAGAAAAAATGAAGTTCTAATCCTGATACTGATCCACTCTAGCTATAGTAATAGACCTTTTTAGGTGTTCAAAGATTGATAATGGTAAGCGCCTTTTCTCTGAGTAATTCATTCTCCAAATGCTGGTAAAAATACAAAGGTTCATCCAATTGAAATTTGTTGAACTGAAATTGTATCAATGACTACATTCCCCATATTTCAAGCCAGACATATACGTTATCAGGATCCAGATCATTAGATTAAGGAAAATGAGGCAAGAAATTCTACAAAACAAAGAGTACGAAAGTTTGTTGTAGCAAATAAGCAACTTGTTTATTAAAAATAGTTGTCAGAAACACACTTTTTCACTAGTACATACTCAAGAGTGAAGCCATTTCTTGTAGATAACATAGCAATTTAGGACGTGTTCATAAAACATCAAGCAGTAAACTAATGACTGGAGAAAAAACACATGATATTAAGAAGTAGAACCAATGGTTGATACTAGAATGAATATCCTTCTCTATCTCTTCCGTGCATGCTGGCCCCAAAGCCTTGTAGAGATGTAGAGAAATATCACATTCCGCTGAAAAGTTTTGCCAACAGCTGGAAGGCTAAAGACTGAAAATGCAAGGCATTAGGGATTAAAAGGAATGATTGAACACCATCAACATATAAGCTTGCACAAAAACTAACTAAATGTTTCGAAATCAAAATCCCTAAAAAAATTCTTATTTTGGGTTATGCTTCCAAAAATGTTCACATTTCCTAAACGTTTTGGGCCCAACCGAAAACGCAGAAAAACAAAATTCTGATCTTTGGCTGCCAGTAATGATTTTTCACTCCTATTCTGCGTTTGGTAATAGCTCACGAAATGGTGCAGCCTCTCCCTCAATTGTTCCACAAACCACTCCCTCTCTACTTTTACAAGTTCTACCACAACTGGTTTCACGATAGAGAAATCAAGTCTAAAATGCTCGAGTCATGCAGCTTAAACATGGCAAGTGGAATTGATGGACAATCTGAGGATTGTCATAAAACATTTTTTTGGCAAGAGTCGTCTTCCTTATTCCTACATACAAAAAATTGAGATGACCCGCGAGTCACCTGGTCTCTGCTCAACCATGATATGGCTGCTAGAATTGATTTAAAATTTTCAAAAAAGGAAAATAAAGATCTATAGAGTTCATTGGAGAGAATTTTTAAGGCTGCATGTAAATATGTGGAGGCCTTTTCAGTTATAATCTAAGCGCCAACTGATTAGAAACTATGTCATAGAAAGAGCACCAACTCTGCAAAACTTTATGCAGAATTCTTTCCCCTGTTTGTGTCCTCTGTTCTTTAACTCAGTTCTTACACTAAAAATCACACATTGTGGGCATTTCATTTTTTCTAATTCATCCACTTAATTAAACGGAAATCACAACACAAAGGTCAAAAATAAGGTATGAAGCACATCAAACAGGATTGTAAGCCATGAACATGCCAAACTATGAATTTTACAAGAACTACTAGCAAAATAATATGCTTCTACTATGTGCTAGCCTATGCTGTATGACCTAGTAACATAGTTTACTTTCCAAGCAAAAGTAGAGTGATTTAGCTTTGTCATCAGGGATTATAATTCTGAGCAGTATCATCATATACCTGCCCTAGAATTTTCTCTGACTAAAAATAACTCCAAATTTACTTAGAAGGCTAACCTAACTATCAAACAAGTTTTGTAAAAAAATCTGCATCTAAGAAAATTAGAACCAAATCAAAAAGTTTCCAATGATGCCAATACTTATTTCTTAATTTGTATTGTGTTCATTTTTATTGCCTTTCTTTTTCTTTATTTATTTCCTTATGTTCTTTTTCTCTTCTCCATGTTAGGCAATGATCACGCAATTGTGTCGGTGGGAGAAAACATGCGCATCAATTACCTCATATATAACTTCATTTCCCAATTGAAGTTTGATGTTAGCAGGAGCCAAATAATTGGATTAAGGAAAACTATGTGAGAAATTCTTTGAAGAACAAGTATAAAAGTTGGTCCTAACCTATACCCAACTTACTTTATGAAGAATAGTTGTAAGACCCATTTTTTGCGAACATATATGCAAGTCATTTCTTGTAGGTAAAATAGAAATTTGGAACATGTTCACAAAACATCAAATGACAAATTTATGACTGAAGAAACCACAGACATATGATTCAAATTAGAACCAATACTTGATACTGAGCAAGAGATTAGACCGAATATCCTTTTCTATCTCTACAGAGCGTGTTGGCCCCAAAGCCTTCTAACGATGTAGAGAAAAAATCTAATTCCACTAAAAAGTGTTGCAGATTTAATCAGCACCAGTCAACAAGAAGGCCAAAGGCTTAAAATTGCTATGCATTGAACACCATCAATAGATAACTTGTAGAAAAGCTATCTAGATATACAAAGCAGCAGGAATAGAAAGACTAACCTCACACAGGGAAAAGGCCAGCTTTTATGCAATATCAATCTTTCATGATGATGGAAGGTACATGTGCAATCTTATGCCAATCTTGCCCTTGACTTTCACTAATTCTTGTTTTAAATTCTGCCGGCATACGTGTTATCATTAATTCACAACAGTGAAGCAGGTGTTTCATTCCATCTGGAATCATTTCCAATTTATTGCAGGATCGAATCTCTACTTCTCTTAGAATTGGTAGAGTTCCTTCCTCCACTGTCCATTCCTCCAATTCCTCCAGCTCCCAAAGTTTCAAGATGCGAAGAAAAGGGAAGCCTCCAGAAGAGCAAACCATTTTTCTCCCACAATAGGAGCCTGCAAATAACCTTAGGATCCTTAAATCTGGAAGTTTCTCCAAATTAGGCATAGGATCATACATCAGTCCCGTCACTGACAAGGTAATCTCAATGAGACTTTCAGGAAAGTTGTACATGATAATTGGATTCGCTAACCTTCCAAACAAATACAAGCTCGAAAGCTTCTTGAGGTCTGACAGTGGCTCTAAGTATATGTCTGAAGCTTGAGCTGCCTCATGATCAAGCGATCTCAACCTTAAAGATTCGAGGTGGTTCAATTTTGTAATCCACTTCGCCAATGCCTTTTGCTCTAAAAGAGTTAACCGAAATGCCAGGCCTAGCTTCCTAAGATTGATCAACTGGTCCAATCCTTCTTTGATAGCGGTCTCCTCATTGACATAAGCTCCCCATAATGTTTGGATGTCAATTAGTGTGTTGTTGTTTGGTGGAGGCATGAATCTGCAACGAAAAATTTCGCTCAAGTATAGGTGACGTAGTTGTTGCATCTTCCATAGGGAAACGGGAAGGTTGCTGATATATGTGCGCTTTAAATCCAATGTTTGAAGGTTCAATAACTTCCCAATTGATGAAGGAAGTGTTTGTAAATAAGTCCATCTCAAGCCCAAATACCTTAGGTGAGTCAGTTTCCCGATGGAGTCGGGTAATTTAGGCCGAAATACACCTTCAAGATCAACTACTCGTAGCTTCTTAAAGCATCCCACCGCAATGCATTTACGAAAAAAGTTGCCTAATTCTTCTCCAGGTAGAGGCCCTTCCCGAAAATCAAATGATACAAAGGAACAGAGATCAAAATAATTTTTTTTGAAAGAAGAACTACTTATGGTATTGTTGCCATGAATGTGTGGGAAGGAGTCATCCTTCTTGTTAAGATGATCAGCAAGTCGGAGGATCATACCTTTGCCACGGGAAGGCTCATAGGCAACTGTTTTGCTATTGACAGGACGAGAGTTTGCTTCCTTAGCTTTTGACAACCAATTATCCCTCAAGAGATAGTGCATGCGACATGTTTTCGGTTTGCCATTGAGCTTCCGTTTTGCCACCATGATCAAGTTTTGTTGTACCAACACCATTAGAAGCTTCTCAGCAGCATGTTCTGGGGTTTCTGTTACATCTATTATTTTCTGCAACAATCCCTCGGCAACCCAACATGCAATCAGTCTTCTTACTGGAACTTCATAGTCTTCATGGAAATGTCCAAAATAGAGAAGGCATTGCTTAAAATTGAAGGGTAGTGCATCGGCAGCCATGTCTAAGCTATCGTACAACAATAATTGGTCTTGATTAATCTGTTGTAGTACCATATACCACTGATCCTGGGCGGCTTCTTTCTTTGACAATTCGTCTCCCACTTTACAAATTGCCAAAGGCAAGCCCGTGCACTTCATCACAATTCCTCTCCCAATTTCTTCCAACTCCGTTGGGATACTAAAACCTACCCGTGCATTTAATAACTCCCAACCCTCTTCATCACTTAATGGCCTCTTTTCAAGAACAAAACAATCTGGACCATCATGTACTATGTCCCTTCTGCTAGTAATGGTAATGATTCTACTACCTTTGCATCCTGCCAGCAGTAGTTCTTGAACGATATTCCAATCTTGAGGTGTCTGTATGCCATCAAAAACTATGAGATACCTCCTACTTTCCAAGAATCTGGCTAACAGTTTCTTCATGGACTCTGCATTTTTCAATTTTTTCGACGGCATAACTTGCACCGCTATATTGACCTGAAAATTTGTGCGATGTAAATTCTCAGGACAAGTCACCCAGGCGTGGCAATCAAAACTCTTGCGGACAACCGCACTGTCATAGACCTTTCGGGCAAGAGTTGTTTTCCCGATTCCTCCTCGTCCAACGATTGCTACCATCTCATGAACCATCTTCCTTGAGATCAAGCGTGAAGTGACTAGCTGCACATCTTCCTCTAAGGCGACAACTCGTCCATGATCTTCTCCGATAGGTGGACCAATTCCAGTTTCCCTTCTGATGAGCTCTGCGAACTGTTTCTCAATGAGCTCAAAAACCTTGATGAATGCGCTTATTTCAGACGGCTCAAGTTCATCTCCCCTTTTTTTGTAATAAAACGGACGCCAGAGATCAACCGCATTTTTGGTGAGTCGGAGCGCCTCATTCGCAAAAGTCTTTGCTCGTCGCCGTTCGATTCGTCTTTCCAGAATAACAAGCACCTGATCCAGTTTTCTAACTATTGGTTCACATATTTTCGTGTGCTTTGATTCGAGCATAAAATTATCCCGATTCTCACGAATATAGTCTATTGCTGCTGCGACTTGCGCCATGTCACCGCCTTATTCTTCTTCCATGAGCTTGTTGGAATGGTTCACAATTAGATCAAATTAAGGAAAATGGTGGCGAATGGTGAGAGAGAGAGAGAGAGACGTTTGGGCGTTCAAGAAGCTAGCTATTTAACAGTGGTTGCCATTATCGTCCACTGGGAAGCATCCTGTTGGCTTTCTTTTGTCTCGGAAGAACTTTGCGTCTTCCTCGCATTCAAAAGTCTTTCGGGCTAAGACGAAATAATTGGCAGAGTTGTCTAACAGGAACAGGGTACATATATTATAGGAATTGAATTCATAATTTGATATTCAATTTGAATTATAAAATGAATTCAAACTGGGGAGTATTGTCAATATTTAATGTTTTTGGAACTCTGGTTTAACTCGTGTTACGCTGTCAGGTTAAGATTGGGTTTGATTTTTCGATAAGAGCTATTCAAATCAAAATTTCCATTGAAAAATATATTTGATAATTATAATTATTGGTTTTAGTGTGAGTCTCACTATTTATTGAGATTTACTATTTATTAAATAATTAAAATTTTGGTTCAACTCGAGTTTTACTCAAATATATCTATTTGATTGGGTCTCCAAAACCCGAAATCATAATTTAAGTCTTGCTCAACAAATCGATTTGTGATTTCTTTTTCCCAAGTCTAAATATTTTGAGTTGGATTCGAGTTATTCCACCCAATTTACATCCCTTGGGTCTGAACATATACAATCCAATCCTCCAACAATTCAAGAATTCTAGACTAGTATGGGGTGAGAAAATCAATGAGTTGTTTAGCTTCATGAATTTATTACCCATCTGGTTAGAAAAGATTGATCAAGTGCTTTGTCTAAACTATTGTGACAAACTATGAATTTATTACCCATCTGGTTATTAGTATTTTTTTCACATGGCATTTGCTTTTTATTTTTCTTATCGGGTTTGTTTACTTCATTCAATCCAAATTGTAACGAAACTAAAAAAAAAAAAAAAAAAAAAAATTCATTCGATCCGGATGCTAAAAATCCATTTCATTCATATGCTAACAAAATTAAATAAAAAATTCTAATTTTATAAATAATCATTCAATACACATATCCAAACAACTCTTTGCATATGAAGACTAAGATATGCATAAGTAATTTCTTAGCAAGTGACATATATGGCACCTAGAAGCCATCTAGAAGCGGTTTGATCCCTTACAAGTAGGGCTGTTAATCAAACTGAATTATTTGAATTTGGCTTGAGCTCTGCTCGTTCAAGCTCAGTTCGTTTTTAAAACGAGTCCGAATTTGAATAAATTTTAGATTCGTTTAAAAAATAAGTCCTACAAGCTCAGTTCAAACTCAACAGACTCAACTCTTTTATGTGCAAATACTTGGATTCGGCTTGAGCTCGACTTACTTTTAGTTCGTTCAGGCTTAGCTCGTTTAGGAAACGAGCCAAACTTGAACAATTTTTTAAGTTCAATTAAAAAACAAACTTTTTAAGCTCGATTCGAACTTGACTTAGACTCATTTGACTACCAACCCTACTTACAAGTTTAGTTCATTCTAACTTTACCTCGAATAGATTGCATTTTTTACTTTACTTGGCCAAAAAAAATAAAAACTAAGAGTTTAAGAGTTCAACCATCGAACCAATCCGTGTAGGTGGCTTCCTTGCATGTTCCCATTCAAAATACTATAGTGTCTAATTTGAGAGAGAGAGAGAGTCAATATGGTCTTCTAGACGCAGTTTAGCAATGTAGAAACAACATTAGGCATTGAATTGGAATTGATGAATAAATTTGGGGTCGTCACTCAGTTCTAGTATTCAAATACCATAAAGAAATTAAATAGTAATCTTCTAGTATTATAACTCTGTAGAAACTAGAATACTAGATTGAATAGAAAAGAATGGATATACATGAATTATAGAGAATGGAGAGAAAAAAAAATGAGAGAACAATTCTACTAGGAAAGATATAATTGTTCAATGAAATATTTTTGAAGTTTAAGGCATTAGAGGCTTCAAAAAAAGGAATTTGAAATAGTATTTTTTGATTCAAAATGTATCAATGGTGACTTTATGAAAAGATGTAACTATTTGAATTGGTATCTTTAGCCAAAAGTCACTAATTTTGAATTAAGTAGCCTTCATGTCATTTTTACTTATCACCTTTCTAATTTCTTCCAAAAGTTACAAAGAGTTTTTCAAAAAAAAAAACCACCTAAAAAACTTTTAATTTGGCTTGTATTAGTATAGAATTTTGACCAATCTAAATTCAAAAATTATTTTTAAAAATTGTTGAGAATCCAATGTATCTACTTTGTGGATATTACTTTCACAATCCAAATACGAATCCGTTAGATTTGTATAGATTATTTCAAATTTCAACTCAATACAACAAGGAATTACTCAATTTTATCATGTCAATGTAATTCAAATTGAACTAGAGTTGGGTTAGATATTGGTATATCCAATTTGATCACTGAAAATTAATATACTTGGATTCAAATATTCGATCAAAAATACATATACATATCCAATTAAACATATTCAAATTGAAATTTTACACATTGAGCATACTATGATGGGCCATTGCAAGGGATCTTGATACAATTAACCCATGTTAAAAAGTTGCATTCTTTTGGAGGATTGTTTGCATAGGAAGACTAAGGTATGCATGGGTAGTTTCTTTGCAAGTCACACTTGCGCCTACTTTTATTTTCGTTCGATTATGTTACTTATTCTAAGAGGAAATTGAAAACTGTTTTGTCATGATAGTGAGAGATAATTGTATCGTATTCGTGTCAACACACATATTTGTAAATAAAACACAAGACTTAGACACTTTTTCTATAAGCCAAATCCATCACTAATAGACTATTCATGAGCTCAAAATTCATTTGATATCAAAATGCTTGTCAGTTTTACAATGATTCATGCAATACAGACAAAAAAATTGGGAAAAAAAATACACTACATGCAATTAACCTAACAAAAAAAGTTTAGTTTCCTAGAAAGTCACATTTCTGGGTCCTGAAAGTGATCTAGACATCGTATAATCATATGCAAGTTTACTTCTTTGCAACTCTGCCTAGAATAAACTGTAGTTTCTATGTTACTTGTTCAAAAAAACAAAATAGTTTAAGATAGTGCTGTATAATATTGTTTGTTTTGAGTTAAGTCTGTCCGAATTTAACACACATTACAAAATGAACGTCCAAAATTCAAATTTATAAGATACTTCAAACATACATACCACGAGACATAAAACAAAATTCATGAAGTTAATATCTTCATCTTACCTCATCCATCTTGGTCCCAAACCTAAAAAAGTCTTTGCTCTTGAATCTAGCCAACACAAACCAGTTTCTTAGATCCACACATCTTATTCATAGTCAGAAATATACTGAAATCACATTTCTTATTCTTTCTATGGACCTCGCTACAAAGATAGATGCTCACTTCTTAAAAGATCCTATATGTGTAGTTGGTAACAAGAGAAGGGGCAAATTTATCCTGATCGGATTAATAAATTTAGGGATTGTAAATCTAAAATGTTATGATGTAGTCAAAAATTGACAATCCTCTAATTGACAATACATTCAGGGGATTAGATGTTATCAACAACAAAACATTAAGGGGTGAAATTATTATTTTTCCAGCAAAAGAGGATCCGCTCGATTAACCAACAAATCTTAGGAAATCTATGGGACCCAAGAGAAAAACCAAGAAACATTAGAAAATTTTGATGTAATTACCCAGTGAGAAAAAGACTGCATTCTTTGGAAGAAATATGTGCCCTATGAAGACTAAGGTGTGCATATATGTAACTTTCTGGAAACTCACGTGTGGGGCTATTTGCAGTTACATTTCTTGGCAGAACTATTTACATATGAAGACTAAGATATGCATAAGTAGTTTATTAGCAAGTGACTTTTATGGCTCCTCGAAGCCATCTAGACGCGGTTTAGTCACTTGCAAGTTTAGCTCTTTCCAACTTTGCGTTGTACTTAGGCCAAAAAAAAGGTGTTTAAGAGTTTAGTTAAATTATCCTATATACACCACTACTAAGAAAGATTTCACTTCTTTATTAAATTATGCTATATTACAAAGTTGGAAACATGGGAAGGGGTCAGTTTATCCTAATGGGAGGAAGAATAACGAATTTAGGGATTGTAGACCCAAAATGTTCTATCGTAATTAGAAATTGGCGATCCCTCTAATTGATTGTAACGTCAAGGGATTAGATGTTGCCAACAACGACACATTAGGGTGACAAAATTATTTTTTCAGGAAAGTGATTGACAAATAAATCTTTGAAAATCTTGACGTGTTTGACCCAAGGGAAAACCAACAAATCTTGCAAAATCTAGATTTAATCAACCCCACAGAAAAAGGTTGCATTCCTTGGTAGAATTATTTGCACAGGAAGACTAAGTCATGCATATACAGTTAGCTGGAAAGTCACATTTGGGGCTCATTTCCCTTATTCCTAATATCCCTAAAACCAGTCAAGATGCCATTTAGTCATGATCCATTGCATGTTTGCTTTCTTACATTTTTTGGGTAACACGTAATTATTTGAGTTTTTTAGTAGTAACTCATCCCAAATAGAGGGAGAACCAAAGCTTCACTTAAATTAGAGAAGCCCCAAATTCTCACTCAAACATGCAGCAATCAGTTTTTAGCCTGTCTCTCTGCTCTATCTCCCTCTCCCTTATTTTCAGTGTCTATTTAACCACGTTGGTTGGGTCAATAAATATATTTGCTTAAAGTCAACTCATTTTTCATGATCATAATTTAAATCTATATAATAAAATAGGAGTGTGTTTGAATTTTGTCATAATCATATTTTCTTCCTCAAAACCATCATCAATCACTTACCTCATCCACCATCCTTTTGTCAGATTCAAATCTCAAATCGCATCACTTATTTCTATCATATGTTTAATCATTTATATATTTCTTTCCTAAAAATATCATATCACTCATTTTTATCATATATTTAATCATTTAATATTTGATTAATTTTTAGTTAATATATTTTGAAAAAAATTAATATAATGAGATCGATTTTTTGAACGCTCGAATTTTATATTTTAACATGCCTTTAGGCACGGATTATGACTAGTGTTTTAATAGAATTATAAAATATTTCAGGATATAATTGTCATATTATAAATATTATTAAAAATAATTTTGTTGAGCGCTTTCAGTTTTCAGAATTAAATTAGAGATCTTCTACTTAATATTGTAG